GAATAGGACTACGGAAGGTATCTCGTCGCTAGGTAGAACAGAGCTGTTGTGACCGTCGCCAGTGCGCCACTGACACCTCTCGAAAGAGAGCGACAAGGGCCCTGGTACCATACCAATGCATCCGACTACCGACCGTCACTAGTACTTTTCTTGGAGGTGGCGATAACGTCCCCTCGTGCGGCGTGCTCTCGCGTTTTCTGTCTTCTCTGTTCGCTCTGGATCTCCGTCGTACCATACCAGACCCTACAGAATCTTAGAGACTTGGATTCTGAGCTTTTTGGTGGTTTATTTCGCCTCTTTCATTTTGAGCCCTCTTCGCACCCTATCTTAGTATTGAGTGCTCCTACACCAACTTTATCCCTGAGCTCGCCTTCGAGGGATCCTTCTTGACTATGTACCGATTCAGTCATGACCTCATTTAGTGTCTACTTTATCTTCCTTGATAACACTGCTGCCAATAAATGCCCTTTGAGACCACCTGTTGAAGGTCAAATACAGATAGTGTTGCTTCGGATCATCGAGACAATGTAGAAGCCCGTTTCGCTTTCACTTATCCTTATTCCATTACTACCACAAGGCTTAATTGTGCTGTATGGGTAGTGATCCCAGTAAATGCCACAGTACCGTCTGCTACCCTAAAGCGCCTTCTTTCGCTTGCGAATTGTTCGATGTCTCAGCAATTTTTTATTTATGCTAAAGTCATGACTCCAAGACCCACTAACTGAACTATACTAAATCCGAAGGTTCCAAATTAGGCGGCCATCTTCTAAAAGAAAGCTCAAAGGGATGAAGCAAGCTGTGCAGCTTGGGCGATCTATGGGTATGTGAACCAGGGCCAAAGATTTCTTGGGCCAGAAATGCACCTCAACGTTTTCGACTAAATATGGGGAGCTGCAAGGAGATAAGCATTTTCTCCATTACAATAAGCTGTGCGAATATCGTTCAGCGTCAAATCCCTAGGTTTCAACGTTACCCGTCATAGCCCTGGGTTTCAACATTACCCTGCATTTGGCACGATAGGTGTCAACAGCTCCTGGTAGAAATGAGGAAGTACTTTAGATCTGTCATATGACATGCTCGTCTTTAGTTTGTACTGAGCACAGTCCAAACCTCTGCCAAGTCATTCATCATTCAATTGCTGACGTGAGAATTCGATCGATTGCCATGTTTTTCTTGCTTGGCCTCGTAGCGGTCAGCTGCCAACTACTTGACAAGAGATCAATCTTCTTGCTCACTCTCGGGTCCGTTATTTAAGGCTGCCAAGGCACAGACTACTTTTCAGAGTGTTCTAGGACAATTCACACAATGAACTACAGCACTCTTCTTGTCCTCCTCCTCGTCGTAGTGTTCTCAGGTGAGCGGTGTTTATTTCCATCATTAATTTTTTTTCTCATTTTCAGAACTACGAAAAGGTTTTGATCTATTTCTTGGATCTATAGAGACTTTCATCTTTCTTCCGTTGGGTCACTGGTAAGAAATGCGAGAAACCTGATCAGCCTCCAACAGTCCCTTCTAGTTCATTTTAGAGTGTCTGCTTCCTTATTTTGATTTTTGATTTGATTTGATTCCTTCTGCGGTTATGTGGAAAGCTTAAAGGATATCTTTGTGGGAAAAATGCCAAGCTTTAGCGAAAACCAGTTATTTATAGAACTAAGCAATTGTGAAGTTACAGTAGCGGTTA